TAGGACGTCTCCTATCAGATGTCAAATATGTTATGTCTTTAAGATGTTTATGATTTAGAATGTATGTAAAACTGACGTCTCAGAGAGACGTCTATCAGATGTTTGTACACAGCAGATGCTTCCCAGTTGAAGTGATCTTTAACAGACATCTTGCAGACGTACGTGTGCTATCTGGGATCAATGCAGCACACCTAAATGTCGGACCCTGTGACACTTCACCTCTCACCCAAGCAACTGAAGCCCGCTGCCTGGCAATATGTGGGCTTTGACACAATTAAAAGACCCGCGAGGCATCATAACTGGAAAACACTTAAAACATGATGTACCATATACGTGAGAACCACTCCATGGAGTTTGTGGAGAAAATTTGCACGTGCACCCTTAAAAATGGCACTTCAATTCTTTAACAAACTAAAAGATGTAGTTCTAATGAAATATTTGTATGTATGTAGCCTACTACATATTAGCTCGCTTATTTTGCTCAAGTGCATGATCTATTTAAGTCCATGTCATACCTCCTAACAAGAACTACAGTATGCTTCTAACCACAGGAGAAGAGCTGTAACCACACAAATTTGTGATATTTTTTGCGAATGTTTGTTGAAACTATGGATTTATGAAACACAAAAATGTTAAACTGTGTCGGTAACGACCATAATGCTTTGGGGAAATGTACATTTGTTCAATAAGAATTGTACACGTCACGACTCGTGACTTATTGCTGCTTTCATCTGTCCTTTTGCTACTGCATGTTGCTATAAATGTCTGTATGTATTGTGCGTGGAATTATGGAAATATATAACTAGTGGTTCTCTAGGAGCAACACTGGATCTATGAGACAAAAACATTGAAAACGTTTGGACGGATGTTAGAAGATGCTCATGGAAGCAATGTTTGTGCTTGAATGTGCATGTTCTTGCACCACCAGTAATGGCCTCCTGGTGGCAGCAGATAGTAATTGTGCCTTTAAGCATATTTTTACCATGTCTTTTTGCACATTCTGTGAACCAATGCAGTGACATAATTGCCTTTCATGTTTATTTAGAGATTTCATATATAGCAGCCTGCTAACTTAAGTCTTTGCTGTTCATTCCCTTTCCCTTATTAAATGTGCAATCTTTTTTCTTCTTCCCTCGTGTGGATGTGAGATATACCAATCCTTATTTAACTATTTATCAGGCTAATCTTATTTGCATATTTCTGTCACTTGTATTACATTTATTTTTAGTAGTGACATTTCTTAGTAGCAATTTTCAGATAATTGGCATGTATCACTTATAAAGCAAATGCAATTATTCACAAGATCATAAATCAAGCATGTGTGGTTTAGAAATGCATAATTTACTTTTAGGCCACACCTTTGTTGTTGTGTGCAAAGCAACACACATGCATTAACAATAAGCTGTTTTTGTTTTATGTTTGTATGATTTCATATATATGGCAAATCAACTGAGCTCTTTGTTTTGAGCCCTAAGGAGGCGGTATGTTGTGGTGTGATGACGATATCCTCTGCCGACGGTCTGATTGGCTAGTTTTCGCTAGCAATATCTTCAGCACCTGTCGAAATTGGCCCATATACGCTTAGCGAATGATTAGTGGGTCACTTTCATGTAGGAAGCCAGTATTTTAGGTCATTTTAATCCCAACCTCGACACAATATGTATTTCAACCAAAGTTATTAAATTGATTAGAAACTGCATTAGAATTGCATGCTCTCGGTTTATCATTAAACGCAGTTGGATGCTAAAATCAATTGCAGTCATATCGGTTACGGTATTCTTCTATTGTGGGATTGATTGGCCGTAGTCGCGTTGTTCTGTTGCGTCAGTGATTGGTCCCTCGTGTCGCGCGTGTGTACGTGACAACTGGATGAACTGGATTCCTCGACCAACTTTCAGACGGATGTTTGGGAATTTGAAACTGTCGAATTCTGTAGCGCCTCTTTTCAGCACCTTGGTCAGTTCCTTTGAGGAGAAACTCGGACCCGATGGCAAAGGCACAGAACTATAGCTGTTATGTTTTATTCTTAACCTATTCCCGTGTGAGTTAGGCGCTTGTTTTGAACTGCGAGGTCTCTGGACTGGATTGAAAATCATCTTATGAGGTCACAGTTTTGGGAGCAATTGGAATTTCAGGATGATGATCACGCGCTACAGACCGGTATGCTAATTTCTTTTTGATTAATAGGTAAAGTGGCTGTCATTAGAAATGTTTACGACAGTAGAGTTTTACATGTTAGCTACTGTTAGTTAGCTTTCAAACATGAAGTGATGTATTTCATTTTGTATATCTGTACTGTTTTTGCTTTTCGACTTTTTCTCCTGTGAGGAAGTTGTTAGGAAAACCATATGTGCCTTTTTTTCCAATAGCTACAACACTCGCAGCTGCATCAAAAGAAAGATGGTGTAACTTTTTCTAAATCGTTTCTAATGGTAAAATACATGAGCCTGATGTCGTTTTATTGTAAATTTCGACATTGTTACCATTTTAACGCTTTTTGGGGGGGTTGTGAAGAGATGCGATAGAAGTCAGCAGCTGCCAGTGAACCGAGCTGCTGCGCATGCGCGGTTTCAATGGGGTGAAGCCCAATAGAATTTAAAAAAAAAAAATCGATATGCTACAGCCTGCTTTCCACAAAAAAATCATTTCTCTTTTGTTGTGCTTGAATGAAATGTGCGTGTGTGAGAGCTACAAAGAGATTTTTTTGTGTGCAAATGCACAAGGATGTCTCATCTGTACCAATGTCTGTTAATGTGATTGGCCTTAATCTTTGATTTTCAGGGTACAGTATTATTTAGACTCTAGATTTTTTTTTTTAGATTTATTAAATTGAATGCCATTTTTAATAAAAAGAATAATTAATTTTATGCAATTTATGTAATTTATGTTATGTAATTTATGTTGTGTTATTTATATTTTTTGGCTGATGTGTGTGTGTGTGTGTGTGTGTGTGTATTAACAGTCTGTTTTTCAAATATCTAGTTATAATTAAATAATGTACAGTGATAAACAGTTACAGGGAGTCTCTTTATAACCTTTACAAGAGCTTCAATCTAGGTGATTATTAAAGGAAACTGGTCAGGAACTGCAATACATATAGAATTCATTACATATTGACTGAAATAATATACCTCTAGGTCCTCTTTTGATTTGACCTGCCGTGTAGTGCAGATTATAGGGTCATGCTACTCATTTAATCATCGAGAAATCCTTTTTGAGGGGAATTCAATTACAGTATGATAAAGTGTCAGTGTTGCTCTGCTGCATCTGCTGCTCCTAGAGCATTCAGTCTGGTTGCAGATGCTTATCTTATTCATTCTCTTAATGGACTGTGACGTGCTTCTATGCACATGTTTCTTCTGGAAGGCAGGAGAGTGAATTTACACTTAGCCTTTCTGAAATAGCACATCAATAACACACCACACCTGTCTGTACCTGATAGATCGACTTTATCTTCTCACCACTATGTCAAAAGGTTATCATAGTATTTCTAGGTGGTTGTTTTAGTTTTGGACTGTAATAAGGATGGATTGCAGTCCATATACACTCTAGATCTAGTATCAGCACGGGTCAGAAAGGTGTAATTTTTTCAAACTGCACACTTTGGTTGACACAGAAATTCTGACATAGCCTTACATTTTTTAATTAGCCTCCACTTTAAAATAAAACAGCTCATATGTGTGTAGTGCACTAGTGATAGTCTGATAGTCTGATCCAATATAAATTGAAAAAAAAAATCTTTTTTTTTTCTTTATTTGTTTTTTGTTTTGTTTTGTTTGCTTTTCTGTTTTGTTTTTGCCAGTCCTTTTTTTCTGTTTTTTTTTGTTTGTTTTCAGTCTGTTTTTGTTTGTTTGTTTGTTTTCTTTTTTTGTTTTCTTTTCATTTGTTTTTCTGTGTTTTCTTCTTTTTTATTTGTTTTCATTTTTTCAGTTTGTTTTTATTTCAATTGTTTAGTTTTTCTGTTTTGTTTTCTTTCTGGTTTTGTATTTATTTTGTTGTGTGTTTTTCATGATGTTTTGTATTTATTTGTTTTCTGTTTTTGTTTGTTTTGTTTCGTGATTATCAGCAACAGCTGAACAAGTCTAGGTTCCACAATTTAGTCCATTTCAAAATGACAGATTATAGATAATAACATTTCTGTTCCAAATTTTAATTTTGAGTAAATATTGTGTAATATAAATCTCATTTATTGTTCCTAAACTGTGTTAAATATTGACACTTTATCAGCCATGTTTTCTAGATATCAGCATCAGCCATTGAACAACCCATATTGGTAAACTACTATTTCTGTGTGACCTCGTTACATAACCTTTCGTCCTTCAACCCTCAAAGTTTGCTTTGCCTTTTGAATTTCCTGACAGTCCCACCAGATCAGTCTTTGTTTACTGTGAGTCAGTTCACTGCTCATGAATATGTTTGATGTCTCATGCCAGGCGTGTACCACACTGTGACGTGCTTGCTGGTTTTTCAATGCCGCCCGCAACGCAATTCTCTCCTCTCCTGCTTTCTCCCCCCTCCCTCCCTCTTCTCTCTCTCTCTGTCTTCCATCATGCTGTCTCTCTTTAGAGTAGATGGCAGAAAGACAGACGGATAGATAGACAGACAGGCACATAGATATGAGCGGATAGACAGATGGACAGATAGATAGAATGAGACGGGTTGATAGATAGATAGATAGACAGATAGATAGATAGATAGAGACAGAAAATTATTAATGAGCTCTTTGAAATTCATTTTTGAACATTTGGCACATTCATTATGAATATAAACATTGCATAATTGATCTGCGCTCAAGTAGTCATTTGCCACAAATGTGGTTTGGTGAACCACATGGAGAGACCAGGATAGAGTTTGTCAAGCCGCTGTGGGAAACATTTTTATTTTAGACAAACCAATGTGACCTTATTGTTGGAATGTACAGCTGAAGCCATCATACTGTCAGAGAGTCGAGTTACAGGAAGGTCGCCGCTTGATCATATATCATTATTTGTCTTTCACAGCTTTGTTCATTTACTGGGTTCTGGCGTTTGTCTCTAAAACAATCAAGTTTTTCAAGTACACGGAGCATGGCATCGGCCTGAGACAGCTGCGCTTCGGGATCACAGGCTTACTGACGCTGCTATACGGCCTGCTGTTGGCCGTAGAGATCAATGTCATCCTGAGGAGGGTAAATTATTGTGTGTCTGTGATTTGTATTCCTGACCACTGATTCTCCATTCTCCGTTTTGATTTCTCTTATTCTTTAGCCTCTGGCTTTGATTTTCTTGCTATATACTGCAGTCTCAGATAATACAAAAGTCTGATCACGTTTGCTGACAGATTTGTGTTTTATCTGTTTTATCTGTCGGAATACAGGCTACTTTCTCTCCCTCATCGCTCCAAATCCTTATGACTTTTTTCCTCTGTGAAACAAAAAAGGAGATATTTAGTAGAGTGTCCAAGCTGCTCTTTTCCATGCAATGAAAGCAAATGGAAATGGGTACTGCTGAGCTCCAAAAATGACTAAAAGCACCAAAAATGTGGTCACTGCAACTTGTGAACTATTTCTGAAGCCATTAGACTGAGGTTGTATGGACGTAAATATGACTGGTTTCATTTATAGCAGTTCATCTCATAATAACTACAGTGGTATGGTGCAGAGAGCTGTGTTATGATTTTATGAATTGACGTAAATTCCACCAGAGGATGTTTGTGTGCAATATCTCTGTAATAATTTAATTAATTTTGAACTATCACAGGCCAGTTATTAAAATGAAAAAGAGAGATTAATTAAAACTCTGCACTTGGATTCATTACACTGTTTGCATATGCATGTGTGAAGCATATCAGCTGGTTTTATGATTTAAACGCCTGTGTTTTCTTAAAGATACAGATATTTAAAAACAAAAAATTCATTCTCTGTATGCGTTTCAAAATCTGTATATATTTTCAGTTTTCATTATATTATGAATAATGATAATGATAATAATATATTATTAATCATATATAAAATTATTGTAATGTTAATATTTTCAAGTAGTACATTTTGCTTTGAAACACTGTTTATTTGCAATATTTTGTAACTAGTTATAAATATTATATGATATTTTTTAGCAAACAATTTTACTTTTTCAGTATTGTGAATTTGCAATATTTTCTAACTAGTTAGATATGGAGCAACCTAGAAAAATTTGTCTTAACTCTTTCATTTCTGTAGAATATTTATAGAATGCCTGAAACCATTAAGTTTCACAGTCCAGAAATAGTTTGAAAATGTCATTTTGTCATCAATCTATTTGACGGTGTGCGATTTATGAGAGGAAATTCATTGTTTTTAAATTCTGATCTTCAAAGATAAGATTAGAAACATTGCTTTTTCTTTCATGTACAATTGGAAGAATTTTGACAGTGTATTCTCCGTTTTTTTTCTACAGCGATATATGTGTTTTGCACACCCCACTGAAGTGAAGCCCCCAGAGGATTTACAGGACCTGGGGGTTCGATTCCTGCAGCCCTTTGTGAACCTGCTGTCTAAAAGCACATACTGGTGGATGAACACCTTCATCACTGCAGCACACAGACGCCCCATCGATTTGAAGGTCATTGGCAAGCTACCAATCGCTATGAGAGCTCTAACTAACTACCTGAAGCTCCGCGAGGCCTTTGAAGCCCAGAAGGTGCGTTTTAATCATCTGCCATATTGTTTTTTACCTTTACTAATACTATTTTTAGGCAAATTCCCTTATTTTCTCTCTCAATGCTAGGATGTGACACCAAACAATGAGTAAAAGAGGACTTTGAAGCCTAAATGCAAACAGCAGAAGTAAAAAGCTAAATGTAGACTATAAGCAAAATGCACTGACTCGGACACTTTAGGACTTTATTTAAAAAGCATTTAGCCACTTGTTAGCAACTGCCTTTTTCAAGACATGTAAGAGATATAAAAAAATCTAGTGCTGCTGGGCAACAATAAAAAAATTTAATCGCATGATTTTTCTGCGATTAATCGTGATTAATAGCATTGTTATGCGCAAAATTCAATAATTAATTCAAAAGTACTGTATTGCGCACTTTTATTTTAAAAGTACTGCTGTATGAACAAAAGTGAAATAACATTTGGTTTGCAAACACTTTAAACAAATAAGGTGCTTTTTTACAGCAGTATTTCCTATATATTGTAGCAGTTAAAATATTTCTTGTAAATCTCAACTTAAACATTAATGTAATCAAATTAAAATCTCCTTTTCATATAATTCGTGTATCCTTGTGATGGTGCGTCTTGACACCATGTCTACACTGGACGCGAGCGGTGTAGTGCGGTGCGATGCGACAAAATACTATAGAACCCATTATAATCAGTGATACTGTCTACACTGGATGCAGCGTGACACGACGAATCATACGTGCCGTCATTCGTTGCGATCCTATACACCAGATGCCGCGCCGCGACAGCTAAAGTCTGTCTACAATGACTGGACGCGTCACGCGACAAAGCGACCATTGCAAATCATTTGAATTTTGTGTCAGTACGTCATAGACAGAACGAGGCAGCAGTTTTCTGTCGGGGATTTGCTGCGTCGCGTCCGGTGTACACACGGTGTTAGGCCCACCCCAAATGCTCTGATTGGTTGAGACGCGTGATGACACCCATCCCAAATGTATATATGAATATATGTATGTATATATATATATATATATATATATAGTAATATTACTGCAGTAATAGTACCATGACAGTACAGTATAGTATTTCATAAATAGTCATACTTCCTCCAGAGTCTCACAAGTGTCTACTTAAATTGTCACACACAAAAAATCATCTGTGGATTTGGAGATGCCTGCTCTCTCTTTGATGATGATGATGATGAAGTGAAAAGGCACGTACGTCACAAATCACAGAAAGACAGGTGTGGAATACCATGTCTATAGCGTATGTGTCTTCAAAGCATTGAAAAAGAGAAGATGTTCCTTTTGCACTATGAACGCAGTGATCTTTTGACCCTCAGCGGGGTGAAGGACTTCTGCATCTCTGTGCTCATGGGAATAAAGCACATGTGACGTGTGCAGTTACGTGTTTGTGCGCTCAACTCCATGTAAATGGATATTGTGAGAGTTTATAACGTGACGGTTTTCACGTGTGGCACGAGTGCAGTGTGACATCAGTCTCGTCTCGTGTGATGAACTCCATTAGTAATGGCTTAATAAATGCATATGATTGATTCCATCCTCTAGTGCAATAGTTCAGGATTAGCATCACATCCAGATCCACTCTGGTGTGCATGCCCATTTTTTACCATCTAATCAATTCCCAAATGATTAAAAAAAATCCCTGCCATACAATTTGTCTTCACTTAATGTCAGAAATGCACTAATGTAGGGGTAAAACAGGTTGAAAAAATGGTTTCGCCCTGGCTGTAAGGAAATATCACACCCAGCTAACAGGGAACATTCTCAGGACATTCTGGCAAGGTTCTCTCAAAGTTATGAACAAACGTTTGTTCAGATTTATCTGGTCTTTATTAATGTTCTCAAATCGTCAAAAAAATATTATTTATGCATCGTTCATGGAATGTGTTTCTTTTTTTTTTTAAACGTTTTAGTTGGACTTTTGTTAAACATTTTATAATGTTACTACTTGTTTAAGAATGTTCAGAGAACATTCAAAAATAACGTTTCCATGATGATACATTATAAAAAAATACATTTAAAGAACTGGACTTTTTGAACGTTCAGAGAACATAAAATGAATAATATTTAATGAGAACATTAGCAAAAACGTTCTTAAAACATATTTTTGTTAGCTGGGTATGCAGTACTTAAGCACAAAGATATCAACACAAAATAGCAAATGTATCGTTTTAAAATGCGTTATAATTCAAAATACATCTTAACTGCTATATCTTCTAACATTACGTGCTTATTTCATTTCGCCAAAGTGTTTTCAGGTCACAATAACCTCAAGTTTATGGCTACAGTGTTTGGCTTAGAAAAATGACTGGGCCAGAGCTAATGAGATTCAGAGATTTGTGTTTAATTGCATTTCAGATAAAAATGCATGGCTGAAAATTACCGCAGTGCTCGTCTGTTAGGGATCAAATCCACTGATACAGCAAAAAGGTGTTTTTAAATGTACAGAGCAATCCATAACAGCACTGTAATTATGCATGTACGCTGCCTTTAAATACATATTAGCATAACAAAATGCAAGGAGGAAATTATTTTTCCTAATTTCTTAGTATGTCTATGTAAATCAGTTTTTCTAAAATGTGCTGGATTTAAAATGTTTAAACAACAAACAGACTTTTTATTCAAATAGAAAAGTTTGTTTGTTTGAATTATTTCTTAGTCATTAATCTTCATAATCATAAGACAAAAGACCAAAAATGTGCCATTTGTATGTGTCACGATTATGTTCAGTTTAGTTCAGTTCCTGTCATGTCTGTTATGAGCTCTCATTAGTTACCATGGTTTCTGATTAGTTAATCCTTGTCCAGCTGTTCCTGTTTAGGTCCCTCATTTACCATGTGTGTACTTATAGTCCTGACTCTGTTCTATCCTTTGTTGGTTATTGTCTTGTGTTATGTGTTGTTCTACACCCGTGTTCTCAGTAAAGTCTTCTTTGAAGTTTGAATCTCACGCCTGTATTCTTTGTTCCTCGAGAACTTGTGACAGTATGACTAAGCAGCTGTTTAGTAAAGAAAAGATAAAAGCTCTGTTCCAAAAGCTTGAAAGCTGCCTACCTAAACAGTATTTTAAGTCAGAGCGCCTCCAAAGCAAAGATTGTTGCTAGATGTAGGCAGCAACATAATACTGTAATTTAGCAAAACTAATCATTTGCAGGTAAGGCGATTCCTTACAAGCTCACCCTTTAATCATATTTCAAAAACAATATAAGTCATTATGAACATAATTACATATAAAGATGTACTTAAGTAGCTAAAAAAACACTTTAAATTTCAGCATATTGCATTTAATATAAATGTAAAGTATAATACATTTTCATTTAATTGCAATTAACATGAAATTAAGGGTCTGTAAACATCCAGTTCACACTTAAATATGTTTATTTTTCTCCATTAGAAGTACTCTTTTTAAAAGTTTGCTAATATGTACTAATTTTTCCACATGGCCAGTCACTAAATTCATCTAAGATTGTGAATGGAGTCTAGAGATGTCTGTAAATATACTTGTTTTTCATTCAATATCATAATGTATTTTTAAAAAAATAGTTGAATTAACTTAATTGAACAATTTTACCTGGTGTTTGTGTGTGCTTTATGTGTTTAGTTTAATAATCCCATAGTTAGCCTAGCAACATGCTAACTCTAATCCTGGAATCTAATCTAGTTATTGTGTTAGAAGGTAGCTGCCTGGCTGTAGACAGTAGACAGCAAGCTTAGAACAGAGATATTATGACTTCCTCCTTTGTAGTACAGTGACTAATTTAGATGCATTCCAAACAAATCTTGGTTCTATTCATATCTGTCTTTATTTTCTGTTACTTATTCAGAGGCCTCAAGGCACTCCGCTGCAGGGGCCCAAGTGTATCTGGACGGCTCTGCGACAGGCCTTTGGAAGACCTCTGTTTCTCAGCATCACCTACCGTTTCATGGCAGATCTGCTTGGCTTTGCCGGGCCGCTCTGCATCTCAGGCATCGTGCACCATCTCAGTAAAGAGAACCACACCATTCAGCCACCGGTAAGAACATCTCTGTCTTTTGCACCCATCTGAGCCGCATTTAAAACAACTAAGAATAAGGGCAGAATGTTGGTTGGTCCAAAAGTAAAAGACACTGAAATGAAATTCTTAAATTCATTATTTGTGTTGTTGGCATGAACAAGCACTTTTGTTCTCTTAGGTATTTTGAAGGTAAAATTAGAAACCGGTGGCCATGGCTCTGTCTTTTCACATTTTCATCTTGTGTTACAAAGCGGTCTGTCATCATGCTGCTGTCATCAATTGTTAAAAAGTTTAACAGCATACTGTCTGGCTCTCGGATGTCGGATGTTGGCCTGTTTGGATGTTTTTGTATGACGTAATTCACTTCACTACATGGATTTAGTGATGGCATAACACTGATTTAAGATGAATGAACAATCCACGTAGAAATAAATGGTCTTATTTAAGCATCTATGCATTTATTTTTGGGGAATCATCTGTAGCCTTTGCTCTAGAAAGGAAGTTATCCCAATTTTTTTCATGTTATTAATTTGTCATTATTAAAAATGTGTACAGTTTTATGCAATTTATTAAATATTATTTATTTAGGTAAATTTGTATTTATTCATTCATTCATTCATTCATTCATTCATGCATGCATTTATATTTTTTTAGAGGGGCATCAGCTGTAGCCCTTGCTCTAGAAGGGAAAGTTACCCCATGTTTTATGTTATTAATTTATAATTATAATTCGTTACTTATTGTTCTGTCAGTGGTGGTTCTTTTTCTTTGGTTTAATTGACTCATTTGTTGCTGCTCTAATCTTTAATTACATGATATAGTTGTATAATAGAATTATAAATAGTGTCCTGTGCTTTCTCTTTAGAGGAAAATGGTGACAGGATATTGCCATAGTAAGGAAAGTCTAGTACTAGTAGCATTAAAAACTGGTTAAGCTTATAAAATGTAGTAATATGGCCATCAACCTCTCACTGCCTAACTAGTTTTACAGAGGACAGTCATGGATAATGCTAAATGGTTTGGTGTGTTTCAGGTGAAGCATCTTGGAATCTACTTCATCTCCTCCCAGGAGTTTCTCGCTAATGCTTACGTCCTCGCCGTGCTGCTGTTCTTCGCTCTGCTCCTACAGAGGACTTTCCTCCAGGCCTCCTACTATGTTGCCATCGAGACTGGAATCAACCTGAGAGGAGCCATTCAGGTCAGCGCAGCGGAGACTTCATTGACTGCACAACTTTTGATTGCCAAAGTCCCTTCAAATAATATGATATATTCGGTTTCACTTCCAGACAAAGATCTTCAATAAAATAATGCATCTCTGCACCTCCAACATGTCCATGGGGGGAATGACAGTGGGCCAGATCTGCAACCTCGTTGCCGTAGACACCAACCAGCTGATGTGGTTCTTCTTCCTGTGTCCCAACCTGTTCGCAATGCCAGTTCAGGTAAAGCCTTAAGGCCCGTTCACACCAAGCACGATAACTATAAAGATAACGATAAAGATATAGTTCTAAAAATCGTTCTCAATATTAAAGAATAGCATAGTACACACCACAACTATAACGATAACGATACAGAGGAACGATATCATTGTGATCACTTTCAAAACGATTTTTTTCCAGCTGATGAACGATAAAACACTGACAGCCAATCAGAATCCATCCTGCTGTAACGAGCTCAAGAATTTAAAGCGGCGGACGCATGTGCGCTTAGAATAAACAGACGATATCGTTCGCTGATGTGGACGCTAATATCGTTATCTTTATAGTTATCTTTATAGTTGTAGTTCTTGGTGTGAACAGGGCTTTACACAAGGTTCCTTTCTCCATAGAGTTCAATGCATTGGGTGAATGATGGTGCGAGTCTGTGAATGGGCCTTGAGTCAAATGTTTCAATCACATTGCCATATGATATACCCACATAAGAAGAGATGTTGCTTTCAATTCCAACATGTCCAGTCCCAGCAAGAGTCAAAGTAATTCTGAATTAAGATCTGATCTTAACTTGACTATTTTATATATTTTTATTTCTGTTTTCCTGAATATAAGATACTGTATAGTCAGTGTCCTTATTTTATTTCTATCAGAGAATCTACAGATCCCAGAATGTACACTGGCAATCCAGTTACATCCCAACACTGCAGCAAAATTGGTTAATGTATGTAATGTAGTCTAGTTATAGACCACATTAGGTTACATATAGACACTTTAGGTTATAGTGTTTGTTTGTTTTGCTTTACTTTGTTTATTTGTTTATTTTGCTTTGTTTTGTTTGCTTTGCTTTTATTTTGTTTCATTTTTGTTTTATTTCATGTTTTGTTTTACTTCGTTTTTTTCTTTTGTTGTTTTTTGCTTTGCTTTTTGCTTTGTTGTCTTGTTTTGTTTTTGTATTTCTTTTCGTGTTTTGTCTTTTGTTGTCTTATTTTTTTTTTGCTTTGCTTTGTGTTGTTTTAATATTTGTTTTAGTTTTTTGTGAGTTTTGTTTTCCTTTTTTGTTTGTTTTTTTTGTTTGTTTTGTTTTGTTTTTTGCTTTGCCTTTTGTCTTGTCTTGATTTTGTCTTGTTTTGTTTTTGGCTTTCCTTGCTTTGTATTGTGTTTGCTTTGCTGTGTTGTTTTGCTTTGCTTTATTTTATTTTATAATGGTCTTGTCATTTATCTGTTTAAATTTATATTAGTATGGTGGCCGAGAGAGCTCAATGCGCTGCAAATGAAAAAAGCACATGCAAATAGAAAAAACACCTGCAAATTAAGAAAACATCTTCATCAATTTGACAACACACGCACTGCAAATTCTCACAACACAAAGAAATGCGCTGCAAATACAAAACAAACAAACAAAATAGAAGCACACTGCAAATATATACAGACCACATCGGAAATGTTTAAGGGAAGCATGTTTCTTTGTTTGTGTTGTGAGAATTTGCAGCGCGTGTGTCATCAGTCAAACTGATGAAGATGTTTTCTTAATTTGCAGGTGTTTTTTTTTCTATTTGCATGTATTTTTTTTTTCATTTGCAGTAAAAGAGCTCTCTCGGCCACCATATATTAGGGCTGTCAGTACATAAAACATTTTAATGTGATTAATCTTGTCATTTTTTGAGTTTTGTAGAAGAAAATAGATTTTTTAAATATATATATATATATATATAAAAATGAGCCTTTTGTGTAATTATTGGGTTTGGAAATTTGTGTAGATGACACTCATAACATAAATGAATGCAAGAATTTACTAAACACAAATTTTATCTTCATTAAAATTCACAGGGAATGCAAACACAGCATGTCAATGCAAATATCAATGCTATCAAATATCAATGCAAATATGCAATATTTCAATAATTAAAAAAGAACTTCCCCAACACTTTGGATTACTGGATGTAATCTTACATGTGTCAAATAAATTACCAGTAAATCAGTCAAAGTTTCAATGTAATTTCTCAACACACTGACTCTTACCTTTGAATGGCATGACATGATTTCGCTACAGCAGACGGATCTTGAGCTGAACAAAACAAAATATAAAGATGTTGCAAAGCCACTTAGTATTCTTCACACTCCTTCTGCTACTGAACGTGTTTCTCCTGAGGTTAGACAGTGTGAAATGTCAGATACCTCTGCAAGATCTATTTTTAGTCTGTGTATAACAGTATATTTGTCCTTGAAAGCCTTATCTTGTGTAAACTAGAGTGTCACTTGTGGAAATCTGTTTCTTTGTCAGTGGGGCTCTTGAATGATTTAAATAAAAATGCATTCATTGATGGCAAGGTGAAAAATTCAACAAGCCCAATAATTAAGTCATTAAATTACTCTTGAAATAATGAGAGTCCTAGAGAACTTTTGTTGTGAAACAGATTGTATATACATGAACACATTTGAATCTCACAAACAGGAAGTCTCAAGACAGACTAGGAAGTTGAAGTCCCTATATGTTTTGTATGGCACATACTTCCCTCTCTGGGTTACTCATGGCTGCCTCTGGGCAAATCTTGATTAGTTCCCCAAGGCAACAACATTTTTTTTTCACTCACTGCATATTTAATAACGAATCACATGCTCCATTATAAATTCTTCATTATAATACTACCTTATAATACTATTGTCTAATAATATTTTCATGTTACTTTAAATAAATAGGTTTAACATTGTTAATTAAATGTGTTTAACACATTTACAGAATGATAATATATGATAATATAAAGTTTTAACTATTATATATAATAATATATATTATATAAATATTTATATAATATATATTTTACTATATATTTCTTGTACTATATTTAATTATTGTTATTATTCTTTATTTTATGCATGTATGTATGTGTATGTGTATATATATATATATATATATATATATATATTGAAATGTTGAAACTCTGCTGTTTTAATATTACTGTTTTAATCATTTAATAATTGCGATAGTTTATTTTTTAGTTTTTAACAAGAAATAAATAAAAACTAAGTCTGCATATTATTTTATTCTGTCCTCTGTAGAACTGCCGTGCTATTTTAATAATGATATTTGTGAGGGGAAAAAATGGGTAGAATAAATAAGACACAACGTCAATGTAAAATAAAGTAAATATTTTCCAGGTAATATTTTAATAATTTGCTTTTGTGCAATGCTAATAAAAAAGACAAGTATTTAATTTAAAAAAAAAATTTGTCTGTATAATAGCATGGTTAATATTTTGCTCACACTGTATAAATAGGTCTTTATACATGAAGAAAATACAGCTTCTTTTATATTTTATAAAGGCGGATCATCATACTTGGGGATCCTTGGCATCAAAAAGTATAAAAATCCTGCACTAAGCTTCCCTGATCATTAAAATATCAGGCATTTTGCCATAAACCTTATCTTTATCACTTACTGTGACAAAAGTGCTTCTGATTATGAAAGGATGTCATTTCCTCTTGGTTTCAGATCATAGTGGGAGTCATCCTCCTTTACTACCTCCTGGGAATAAGTGCCTTGATAGGGGCCACGGTCATCACCCTCCTGGCTCCGGTGCAGTACTTTGTGGCGACCAAGTTATCAGATGCACAGAAAAGCACATTGGTGAAATGATAATATATGATAATATAAAGTTTTAACTATTATATATAATAATATATATTATATAAATATTTATATAATATATATTTTACTATATATTTCTTGTACTATATTTAATTATTGTTATTATTCTTTATTTTATTATTTAAATAGTTTTTTAGTAGTTAGTCGTTTTTATTTATCATTTAATTATGTAATACGTTAAACTTTATTAATTAAATGTTTAACTCTAAAAAATTGAACACATTTACAGAATTATAATATTTGATAATATTAAAAGTTTTAATTATTAGAATGAAAAATTATGGTCATCACCCTCCTGGCTCCGGTGCAGTACTTTGTGGCGACCAAGTTATCAGATGCACAGAAAAGCACATTGGTGAGCTCCTTATCTTTGTTTGATGTCTTAACCTGCAGTCAAGTGACAATCTAGTGCAAATACAGCTTTTGTTCAAATACAGATGACATTTGTGCAGGAAAGCCAGAGCAGTCCAAATGATAAACCTGTCAAATATTGAGCTCAAATAAGACCCAGGAGATTTTAGGAGCCTTTAGCATTGTTACTAATGTATCATTTATGTGTCGAACACTCAGGAATATTCCAGCGAGCGGCTGAAGAAGACCAATGAATTGCTGCGGGGTATCAAACTCTTGAAGCTGTACGCCTGGGAGCACATCTTCTGCTCGAGCGTGGAGGAGACCCGGGGCAAAGAGCTCACCAGCCTGCAGACCTTTGCCCTCTACACCTCCATATCCAGTAAGACGCCTCAGCTTTCACTGTTACCTCAGATGATAATAAGACAGACAAAGAGCAACCATGTCACAGGGTTCTTAGTGTTAAAGCAAAAACAACACCTATTTTTCAGTAAATATTGGTTAAAACTCTGTGCAGTTTTAACACTCGCACTCTCAATTGTATCAGCAGCAATTTTGGCAAGAACGTGAAATGCGAATCTCCCAGCTGGCCAAATTCACACCGTATTATGAGTTATCACTGCTTACAGGCATCACTGCAAACGCTGTTGGACCAAATGTAGCCATTTTATTTTAGATCATTACCATGTTTAGTGTAAAATTGAGACCTCAGAAATAATCATTAAAATTAAAAATATAAAATGTAAACAAAATATATAAAAATTGTTTTTATTAGTTTATAGTTTGTATTTATTATTTAACATTTTTGTTAAATGCTATATATGCTAAATGTATGTGTGTTTTATATACATTAATAATATATACTTCATATTATTTAATTCGTTTGTTTTTGCAAAAATAAAACCTGTAAACCAATACCTGTTTTTGCAAAAATAAAAGTGTATGTATGTATATTTCAAAATTGTTAAAGGCTTTTGTTAAATGTGTTAATTTTAAGAATACTAAATATTAAATCATTTTTTATTTTTATAATTATTTGTTAAATTATTTGTTATTTGTTAAAAATAACGTTTTCACATAACAGAGCCCATTCAGTAAATCATAGATTAATATTCCAAATGATTTTCAGCAAGTAGCGTCAGACAGCTGCTCTGAGATAATATTTCATTGCGATCTTCATATTTCAGCCTCATTTCAGCCCTGCTTGCTGGAAAGTCAAAACTTAATATGCATAATCATAATCATATGGGGGGAAATGCTTCAAGAAGATGGAAATGCTTCAAAAAGATGGAAATGCTTCAAGGCTGAGCCAGGCTCAAATTTTTTTATCAAAAGATCCAATAATTTTTATTAAAGAATGCTAAATATTTTAATAAATAGAGGTAAGAAATACAGCCTTTAACAAACATCCAAAGCACTGAAAACTACAATCAAGAGCTGCTGACTGCATCTGTGGAGTGTTTGTGCTGCTCTCTAAAGGCGCTCTGATTTAAGTCAAGGTTACACCACAAAGGCCTCGTCTCTCTCTGATCTCTTTTCGCAGCATTTTTTGCGACATTAGCAATATTGGAGAAGGACTGTGTTGCTCAGCAGGAGAATATCCTGCATGCGGTGCTGCAAAGAGACTTCAGGTTCATGTATCATTCAGTCTGAATCACTGCTTGCTGCAGAGGATCAGTGAATTTGGATTTTAAAAAAAAGGGTAAAAAAAAAAACTGTCAGACAGCAAAATCAGTTGGAGAAGGAAGTCCCATCAATGTGATTAAACTGTAGACCAGCAGCAGTGTGAATTACTGCGATAGCAGTGAAATATCTGACGGCACAGTCAGCAAACCCAGCAGATCTCAAAGGATGTAAAAAAAAAACTGTCAGACAGCAAAATCAGTTGGAGAAGGAAGTCCCATCAATGTGATTAAACTAGACCAGCAGCAGTGTGAATTACTGCGATAGCAGTGAAATATCTGACGGCACAGTCAGCAAACCCAGCAGATCTCAAAGGATATGATCACTTTGATGACACTTTTATCAGACAGAACCTGTAGTTATTGAAATCAAAAAAACGTCTCGTCTCTGGATTGAAATTGTCAAACCTTTAGGCACAAATGAAATTGAGGTTTAATGGCGTTTCTGGCTGCCATCAGTCCTTCCAGCACATACAGCTCACAGCAGAGCAATGCACCACGTCAGCAGGTACGACTGCAGCTCATTTCTTCTGTGTACCCTCTCTGTCAGTGTCGTTTGGTTTGGAGGAAGTGGCGAAAACTGTTCAGCAGCAAATCTGCTCAGAGGCAAGAGATGGTGGTTAGTTACTACAGTTTCTGGTTAAACGTCAGGGACGCTTCAGTCAATATAGAACAAAAATCCCATTTATTTTCTTCTTAGAAATATAGATTTTTAACAATTCCTTTGAAACATTTTAAGTCAGAAACACAGTGAGCTTCCAAGGTTATTAATAGCCAGCAGTGACCACCTGCTTCCTGAAGAATTGTGAATTGATTGATTGAATCAAGATGCTCATCCCAGACTCTAAAGGAGGTCGCACAGCGGACGAGAAGCGCAGCGCAGCATCGTGACGCGTTGTGCCACGTCTTTAAAATTTGAACACATTGTGTTATTAATATTAAGCAGCACAACTGTTTTTAACATTGATAATAACAGATTATTATAGTTATTATAGTTTACAAAAACTAAAACCATAAAACACCATACCATAAAAAATACTTGAAATAAAGTAAACTTTGAACTACTTAAAATAAAATATTAAAAACATCTATCTATATGTCTGTATAAAAATAAAATTAAATATGGAAGTAAAAATTAATTTTAAGATAATAATAAAAACTATAATAGTATCTCAGATATACTAAAATAATCCTGGATAATATTTCTTGAGGATCAAATCAACATATTAGAATGATTTCTGGAGGATCATGTGACGCTGAAGACTGGAGTAATGATGCTGAAAATTCAGCTTTTCATCACAGTAATAAATTACATTTTAAAGTATATTCAAATAGAAAATAGTTATTTGAAATTGTAATAAAATGTCACAATTTTACTTTTTTTACTGTATTTGTGACCAAAAAATGCAGCCTTGATAAACTTAAGAGATTTTTTTCCAAAAATATAAAACAATCCTCTAAACGTTTGAACGTTAGTGTATATATGTGTGTGTGTGTGTGTGTGTGTGTATATGTATATATATAAGAAGACACTGAAAAGTGAAAGTCACAGTTCTGGCAGTTATTTCCAGATAGAATTGGGTCAAAAACATGAGTAAGTGAATCTGAAGCATCAAAATAAATAAATAAATAAATCATTGTAGGCAGCTCTGAATAAAAAAGAAGGCTGGTGCAGGAATGTGTTTGCCTGTCAGCGTGCATTATCGGTGTGAAATACCTCTGAGATTTGTAGTTATCAGCTTTGAAGGATTGTAGGGGCTTAAGCTGATCCACAGGGTACTAATTAAAATCTGAACAGACATTCATGAGTTATGAATGCAGTCAATTCTCGGTTGCCCTCATTTAATGGACCGTGAAGGTGTAAATGTGTGAGAACGATAGTGAGAAACAATCAGATGCACTCCTCAGTGCAATGAATGGGTTTAGCTGCCAATAGCAATTATTTATCAACAATTACTTAATAGCAATTGTCTTAACAGATATTTGCTGATTTACTTTTGACTAACGTTATTCATTAATTAGCAAGATTGAGGTATCTACTCATTCAATAATGTCAGCAGCCAGTTGGCAAACCAGTTCAGATCCAGCATCCTTCAGCAATCAGCAACTTCTTGAATGTGCGGGTTTTGCCTGAAGTTTCTCACACTGCTGAATGTAGGATTCACTCAACTGTGGCACTTCCAGCTCAAGCTGTTCACCAGAGCAATGGTATTGCACTTTCACTAAGCAGGTTGGAAGCTAGAAATTGAGTTTTCAGGGCTCAGAAAGAAGGATTTTTTCCCTGCTGGCCCAGAACATACACACATATATTGATTGATTGATTTATTCACTATTATTACTCTTTACTTATTTATTTAATGCATTTATTTACTTAACTGTTCTATTTTCTTACTTATTTACTTAACTTTTTAACTTATTTATCTTTTTACTTTTTAATGTATATATTTACTTTTAAATGTTTATTTTATTTTTTAGATGTATGCACTTTTATTTGTTTAGCAATATATTTTGTATTTGCTACAAATATTTCCATTTTATCATTAAAAGTTAAGTTTTATTTGGTTTATTTTTCTTTCTTTATATAATTTATTTACGGTTATTTTTATTTATTTACTTACTCGGTTAATTAATTGTATTTATTTATTTCTTTTTATTGATTTACTCTTCAATGTGCTTATTTTTATTTACGTTTTAAAATGTGCATACTTATTTGCATTTAAATATTCATTTAGCAAAGTATTTTATATTTTCTATAAATATCAGTATTTTTCATAAAATAAAAATAAAAAGTTTTCTTGACAGTTTATTTTTCTTCATTTTTTTTTTTAAGAGATAATATACGAAAATAAAATTTGTGACAAGGTGGAAATGATACATATGCATATCATATGAATGTGTGATAATGAGAACACATAAACGTCAAAATGAGTGTTCAAAATCATACCGTACATATTTTTTTAAAAATACGTTGTAGATAAAGCAAAGATTATTGCAGTAAGTTTTACAATAAAATAATATTTACATTTTCTCCCTTAAATTTCACATTTAATTAAAATTTACTAGCAATTTCTGAGTGAAAATGGTTTCAAATTAAATTCTTCACTTAAAGGGTTAGTTCACCCAAAAATTAAATTTAGCCCACAAATTACTCACCCTCAAGTCATCCTAGGTGTATATGACTTTCTTCTTTCAGATGAATCCAGTCGGAGTTATATTAAAAATTATCTTTGATCTTTCAAGCTTTTTAATGCCACTCAGCGGGTGTTGCATGCATCAGTCCAAAAGAAGTTAAATAAAAAGCGCCCATCCATAAAAAAAAATGTCTCACACGGCTCCGGGGGGTGAACAAAAGCCTCCTGTAGCGAATCGATGCGTTTTTGTAAGAAAAATATCCATATTCAAAACGTAATAATCACTTTAATCTTAACTGTTCTATTTTCTTACTTATTTACTTAACTTTTTAACTTATTTATCTTTTTACTTTTTAATGTATATATTTACTTTTAAATGTTTATTTTATTTTTTAGATGTATGCACTTTTATTTGTTTAGCAATATATTTTGTATTTGCTACAAATATTTCCATTTTATCATTAAAAGTTAAGTTTTATTTGGTTTATTTTTCTTTCTTTATATAATTTATTTACGGTTATTTTTATTTATTTACTTACTCGGTTAATTAATTGTATTTATTTCTTTTTATTGATTTACTCTTCAATGTGCTTATTTTTATTTACGTTTTAAAATGTGCATACTTATTTGCATTTAAATATTCATTTAGCAAAGTATTTTATATTTTCTATAAATATCAGCATTTTTCATAAAATGGTACGTTTTCTTGACAGTTTATTTTTCTTCATTTTTTTTTTTTTAAGAGATAATATACGAAAATAAAATTTGTGACAAGGTGGAAATGATACATATGCATATCATATGAATGTGTGATAATGAGAACACATAAACGTCAAAATGAGTGTTCAAAATCATACCGTACATATTTTTTTAAAAATACGTTGTAGATAAAGCAAAGATTATTGCAGTAAGTTTTACAATAAAATAATAATTTATGGGCTAATTTTCATTTTTGGGTGAACTAACCCTTTATGGGTACTTGATTTCTCAATATTTTGTATGTAGTATAGCAACATACTCGAAAACATTTTTTTTTTTTTGTCCCTCTAGGGAAATTATTTCTCTACAGCACCATTTAATTTAGCAATGAAATCTGTTCTCAGGGCTTTAAGAGTTGGACAAGTATTTGTGTGCATGTAGAAAGTCCTCTGAGCTTCCGGGATAATGGCGAAATACATCATGCTTAGAAGTGTCTGAGCGTCTGCTGGGCCTTGGTGCTGGGCTTATAACACTGGTACATCATTGTCAGTGTTCATATACTGGTTGCAATGAAACCACTTGCTCACCTGGACACTGGAGGAATGGGAGAGGAGCTCTACTACATCTCAATATGTCTTTACTACATAGTGGACATATGTAACACTGTATATACCTTCTTTTTTTTTAATAAAATTGTTTTTTTTTTGTCTTCACAGTATTTATGAGCACAGCTATTCCCATCGCAGCGGTTCTCGTTGTAAGCATAAAACATTCAGTCTGATATCTGTTCTTTATTGAAGCTATAAATGCATAGTAGCAGTTCAGTAGTAGAACAGCTCACATGTGTTTGTTTCAGACGTTCGTGGCTCATGTTCATCTGTCGGATGATGCAGATCTGTCCCCCGCCGTGGCCTTCGCCTCCCTCTCGCTCTTCCACATCCTGGTCACTCCTCTCTTCCTGCTGTCCAGTGTGGTCCGCTCCACCGTCAAAGCCCTGGTCAGGTCAGTTACAAACCATTCATACTGAATAAGATACATTAAATGAAATATTAAGAATTAAAAGCAGCACACTAGGTTTTTAGTTTGACATATGCAATAGTCCAAAAAAAAATTATTTTTTTTCAAATGAAATGATTTTTTAACTTTTAGACAAAATAAAATAAATCTTTAAAAAAAGATTTTTGTTGAGTATATTTGTTTGTTGATAATATAAATATATAAAAATAAATATTACAAAGCTTGTTTTTTTTGTTGAGTATCATGTATGATAAATGTTTCTGCCACTGCATATAATAATAATAATAATAATAGAGCTAATTGTGATTTTTATCTTAAATTTTTTATTTAAAAAAAACGTCTCAGTTATGTATGGTAACCCTCGTTCCCTGAAGGAGGGAACGGAGACGTCACGTCGGATGACCGACGAAATTGGGATCTCGCTTAGAGAGACCAATCCCCTTCGAGTGTAAACTAAACGAGCCAATGCACATTGGCATGCGATTATTGCATCCAGCTGCTGCTGATCACAGCGTGAGTATAAGTAGGCAGCAGATGCAGCGCATATTCAGGTTTTCACTGAGGAGCCGAGCCGGTGACCCGGCCGCTCAGCGGTGGTACCTGAATTCTATTTAAAAAAAAAAAAAAAAAACGCAATTACCTTTTCAGTTTTTTTTATCTCATGGCGGATACAGGCTCCATAATATAACAACTACTTACATAAAATGCATTAAAAAGTTACTCTTTATCTCCTAATAGTTTGTCTAATTAAGATATTTAAATGCTTAGTTTTATGATCAAAGCTCTGTAGTTTTTATTGCGAGGGCAAAACATATAATGTAGTGCAATACAATGATGACTGAGAGATATAAATAAATTTTGCTCAAATAAACAAATACTAAATAAACATTCCTCAAAAGCCCGATGTTGTAATAATGTAAAATATGTGAAAAATAATGTGTTTTTCGAACAACCTATGAGAGTCTGTTCTAGTACACCCCCAAAACAAAATCAAGACTTTGTAAAAGAGCATAATAGGACCCCTTTAAATGTCTTTATTGAATTAATGAAAATTTATTTATTCAGTAAAAAAAAAAAAATAATGGAAATGTGACCTTTTTTTGAATCTTGATGTGTATAATAAATAGATAAATTATTATTCAAAAATAATCAAGAAAATTATGTATTATTAATTAAATCATTAATTGCATAATAAATTATTTTTATTCATTCAATAAATACATAAATTAAAAAGTGACCATATATCTGCAGTTGATGTGAATAAATACATTTAAAACAAACAAGCAAGCAAAAAAGCAAGCACATTATTTAAATAAATAGATAAATAAATGCTTTAATTATAATTAGTTTTTATTAATTCAATAAATACTTCAATTAAAATGACTAAAATGTGCCTGTTGTCTGAAATGTAATTCTTAATGTGAATAAGACAAATAATTAAATACAAAAATAATATATTTATTATTCAAAATAATTATTCAAAATAATAATTATTAAATAATTCATTTATTTATGCAATAAATACATGCATTAATTAATCGAAATGTGACCTTTTATCTGAAATTTGTTTCATTCTTGATGTGAATTAATTAATTAATTATTAAAGTAAATAAAATAAAAATATTTATTCAATAAATACATTAATTAAAACATGTCCTTTTGTCTGAAGTGTAATTTTTTAAAATAAATAAAACATGACATATCTGAACGAAGTTTAATTCTTTAAAGGAATGAGTGTCTTTTTTTTTGGCATGTTATGGTTTGACCACTGGTCTGAAATTTGTTTCAGTTTATCTGCTCACCAGGAAAAAATTTAAAATAATAAGATATGGATACATTTTCATGTATGAATAGGCCCACAGAAATGAATTATTTTGATCAAAATTCAAATTTTTGTTTTTGACATGAATAGGCCCCAAGGCTTATGCTCCCACACTCTCAGTAATCCAGCCGTAGTAATCGCCATGTGTTATGAATGATGAAAAAGACAGATATTTTTATTCATGACTCTGACTATGCATTATTTATGTTCATAATATCACAATACTGGTCAGCATGGAGAGGTTAGCACTGTTAAAGAGGCTGCTCACGCTGATGTTGTTTTTCTCACCTCTGATAAAGCCTCTGAAGGTGGTGAACCGTAAGCGACCCGTCAGAGACGACTGGAACAGCTTCGCCCTTCAGAGTGAGCAGGAGGATGAGCCGCTGGCGGTGGAGGATGAAGATATCTGCATCAAGGTGAGACTAATATGGGTTATTTCTGTACTCGGGCAGTAAACAGGAAACTGAGCTGCGTGAAGAATAACTATCCGCCTCCTTTATGTCCATTCCAGATCACAAATGGATATTTCAGCTGGACTGATGGAACCCCAACGTTGTCCAATGTGAATATTAAGATTCCTTTTGGTAAGTCCTGTCAAAAATACATCTACAGATGCTGGCGGATGGCTTGTGGAATTTCCTGATCCCTGATTTCTTTACTAATTTAAAACATATAGTTTACCCATAAATGAAAAATCTCATAACGTTCCAAACCCATATGACTTCCTCTTTTACGTGGAACACAATAGGAGATGTTTTGAAGAATGTGCATGCTGCTCTTTTCCATACAAGAAAAACGTTGATGGTTGCTTATGCTGTCAAGCTCCAAAAGGACGTGAAGTATCATAAAAGTAGCCCATATGACTTGTGCGATATATTCCAAAGCCAAATAATCATATTGCCTGTAGAAAAGATTGAAATTTAAATCGTTATTTGATGAAAAACACAGAATTTTCAATATGGGTGAACTATTATTTGAACATACAGTTGTGTTTTGTTGCTCCATGAAACCCCATTTATCTTGATTCTTGATTGATTCTCTCTGCAGGTCAGTTAACTATGATAGTGGGCCAGGTGGGTTGTGGGAAATCATCTCTGTTGTTGGCTGCACTGGGTGAGATGCAGAAGATCTCCGGCACTGTTAAATGGAACAGGTGAGAATGCAGATTTTTTTTAGATGGTCATGAAACATTGTGCTCAGCATAACTTCTGGAGCGACTGATAGCGTTGGAGACTAAAGGCCTGTTCACACCAAGGACGATATCTATAATTGGTAATTATAATAATCAGTCTAATTCTGTGAGAGTAGTGAAGTCCACACCACAACAGTAACGACATGAGGAACAATATTGTTGGAATCACTTTCAGAATAATTTTTTTTCCCCAGCTGATGAACATTAAAAACATTGACAGCCAATCAGAATCCACCTGACTTCAAAGAGCTCAAGCATTTAAAGGGGCGGGCGACAAAACAGCGTTTGCTTATAATAAACTGAACATTACCCTGATGGCACGCGTACATAACGGAGACGTCTGTTTGACATCTGCAAGACGTATTTTTTTAGTGTTTTCTCATCTTCAATACGTCTATAGGATGTTTCCTATCAGATGTCAAATAGACGTTTAGAAGATGTTTATGATTTATCATGTGTGTAAAACTGACATCTTAGAGACGTCTATCAGATGTTTGTACACAACAGATGCTTTCCAGATGAGGAGATCTTTAACAGACATCTTGCAGACGTTCGTGTGCTATCTGGGTAGCGTCCTTTGGTGTGGATGCTGATAATGGTTATCGTTATCATTATACTTATCGTTCTTAGTGTGAATGAGCCTTGACAATTATTTAGCTAACAACTATCTTGCAATTTTGACTTTTTTCTCGCAATTCTGACTTTTTTTTTCTCAGAATTGTGAGATCTAAACTAGCAATTGCAAGTTATAGACTTCAACTCTGAGGAAAAAATACAGATAATTTTCTTACAATTGCGAGTTTATATCTCACAGTTCTGACTTAACTCACAACTGCGTGTTACAAAGCCAGAATTGCGAGAAAACGTCAGAATTGTAAGATGTAAACAGAAAACAATTCTGTCTTTTTTCTCAGAATTGCAAGTTTATATCTTACTATTCTGACTTTTTTCCTCGCAATTCTGACTTTCTATAAACTTTCTTGACTTTCTCGAAATTGCAAGATATAAACTCACAGTTCCTAGAAAAAGTACAAATTGCGAGAAAAAAATGTCACAATTACCTTGTTGCATTTTTTATTCAGTGGCTGAAACGGGCTTTCATAAACAACAGCCAAGTTCCCATTTTTTCTGTGAAAAAAAAATGCTAATTATCGCTAAAATGTTGCATGTGTCGACAAAATCTTGTTTTCGTTTAACTTTAACTGTAAATACTATGCTGACACTTCAAAAAAACTAATTTTGAAAAACTTTTTGTTAAGAAAAATGCAAATAAATGTGTTGCATGATAGAATAATAAGGATGAATGATGGGAATTTGCTGTTAATTGCAACGCTCCCATCTGTGGCAGAAGTGGTCACCCTAACTTCATATTCAGGCCTGGTTGAAGTGATTGGTGTGTTGATAGGATTGAATCCCATTTGTCCATGAGAGCTCTCTGAATAAAAGTGCTGTGTGCAGAGAAGATATTGTAACGAGTAATGCCTTTCATAAAGATCTTGAAATTGCTTTAATGATGCTGTGGGTGTTTAAATTGGTAATTCTCAGAGTCACTATTATATAAAGAAAAATTCTCATAAGGGTCAGTTAAGTGAGGCTGTTTTGTGAGCTTATATAACGCTATTATGCTCAGTCTCTAGGTGATATAAAGCTTCTTATCATGTTACCAGCTTCTGTTAATATTATAAAGAAAATCTGAAGTAATGTGGTTGTTCAGTTCCAGGCTTGTGAAAAACACAGCAGGACCCTGTAAAGGAGAAATTGGACTACCACTGGTATTGATTCCCAGTTTTGTGAGCCATCGGTTGACCCACAGAGAATCCACATTGATTTTGTGGGGGAAAACAGCAGAATTTTGGAATCTGGTTTTATTGCAGGCATCACAAGGAATCACATTTATTTAACAGGGTTCAATGTACTACGAAAACAAACTTTTTCAGAGCTCAAAACTTCCTCAGCAGGCCAAAAAAAAAAGAGAGCATTTACTGAAAATAATCTGCAAAAAGATCTGGGGCTGAATTCATTAAAGCACCTTCTTGAAAACTACAATTAAGAAGTATGACACTTACAATAATAATTTTTTTTTTTTTATTAATTTTTTTTTTTATATTTTCAGTTTTCATTTAATTTTACTTTGTGTTTTAAGTTTAAGGTTTTTTATTCTTTGTAGCTTTAATATGTTTGTATTTTAGTTTCAGTGATTTTAGAACTTCAACTTATTTTATTTCTAATATTTAGATTTTATTACTATAATTGTGTAATGCTTAATATTTAAAACATAATGTGTTGGTGCATCCCATAATGCTTTAAAAGTCAGTAGATCAAGGGCAACGGGGCCATTTCAGGAACACTTTGTTGCCTATGTTGTTGAGCACTAGAAACCCTTCCCTCACTCACTACACGTCACACTCCTGACCTTCAGAGGTCAAACAGAAGCTGTTATGTTCCCGTCCACCATCATTTAAAGTCCTCTTCACAAATTAGTCACCTGTTCATCAGCCCATGCTGTCATGCAGGCTATTAGTGATTACAGTGTTGATTTGGGGCTTGTTTTTTGATGTTTAAAAGACACGTCCAGGGTCAAGCACAATACAGAAGGGCGTTTGTTCAAGTGCCAGTCCCTCCTGGCAACAACCAACCAAATGAGCCCAAATCAAAGGGGCTACTTACGATAACAATGGGATTAGACTGACAATGTGAATCCACTTAAAGTGTTTTAGATTAAAATATAAAGGAGATGTTCATATCTGTAAGATAGAGGCATGGTTTGGAAGCAGTCAATGAAATGAAAAGGTTACCCTTTTGAGCTGTCTGAACTGAATTACCCTCTCAGACCCGAGACCAATGCTCTTTAAATGAGTTAAACCTGAATAATGATGCATCTAGTTTAATGGCACAGACATTTGAAAGTAACTCTAGCGCCCTTTGAGTACTGAAGTTTGTTACTGCAACCACAAATGCGCTGACCAAGCACCTTCTTATGCGTTTTCGTACATTGCATAAAGTGTCTGACACCAAAGAACACCTAGATCCTACAGAATGACATAAAATGAATTATCCACGTGAATTATTTGAGCACTTGTCTTCTCTCCATTCAGTGTATGAGAACCATCTCCAGTATTCAAACAGCTTGCATGCTATGTGTGCAAAGTATTGTTAGCTGAGGGTGAAGCAAAATGTATGTTATGCCTAAAAATAGACTACAAAGCCTTACAGCACAAAATATTTCCTTGAAAAGTTGTGTAGTTTTCAAGCAGGCTAAATGTCGGTCTCGAAAAGCAAATGTTTATACTACCAGTACCAAAATTTACTGTGTTATTTGGGTGTTGACTAATTGGAAAGGAAATGGTTTTTACGTGTGTATGTTCATGTTGGATACAACGTTTCTGGCTGATGATCAGAGAGTATCAGGCGCCGTGGCAAGAAAACCTCTCTTTTATCTGAATCATTTATCAGAGAAATGCCCACATGAATGGCTCTGACGGCTTCTGATCTCAAGATGTCATGTTCAAAACATTGTAAATAAGATATTTGCAGCAAGTAATAGATAAGCTAAATAGTCTTTGATCTCTGAAAGTTGTTGCTTGTAAACATTTACCATTTCTGTTAATTTTTTGTCTGATATTTTGTTTTATTTAAAGGGATCACACACAGTTTACTTAACGGGCTAATACTGTTTTGTAAATAACAGCCAAATACATGCATTCAGAATTTTCTGTATTAAGTTTGTTTCTACAAACGAGGTGGCAAGAGTATCAACGTTTCTTTTCTCAGTCATGTATCAGACAACTGTTTATCTGCCCAGATAAATGACTTTAACAGCTTCAAATGTCAATGCCCTTTAATGTCCTGAACACAAATCTACAACACAACATAGTGAAGTTAGCTGTCACTATTTTAGAAGCAGTAAATAAATAAGTAGTAAATATAGTAAATAAATGTTTGTTGTTGTTTTCTGTAAACATTTACTGCTACCACAACATTTGCTGAAATTGTTACTTTGCAGCATCACAAATGTTAGGTTTTAAGCAGTTCTTGGTGATAATAAAATATAATTTGATAATATAATAATTATTAAAAGTAATATTAAAACGGTATTTCATATATTGGTTATATTTGAATATGTTTAATATTTAATGTGAAATGTAAATATATATTAAATACATTGCATTATATTTAAATGCAATTATATTTAAATTTTAATTGTATTTAAAATTATATTTAAATAAATTATTATTCATATATTTGTATTAATATAATAATTACATATTTATTCATAAATAAATAATTCAAGACTCCGTAATTTTATGTATCATTAAAATTTGTACAATAATTATAGTACCAGTATTTTATAAATGATTTGTCTTTGAGGTTTATTTGTCTTATTGGGCGCTTAAACCATGGCATATTGTTAAGCTTAGCACCTCTCCGCCATGTCATGGTTTTAATAATGTCAGTCATTTTATAATGGCACACGTTGGCTAATTACATCTCTCAGTATGGTATCCAAAAATCACCTTCCTGGCACCGCATGTGTCATCTGCTTTCTACGGTTGTCCTTCATGTGGATTGACAGTACATTCCCATTAAAACAAACACTACGAAGAGATAATGAAGGGAAAATGGTCAACATGGAAAATGGTTAAGACTAAGCATGTTGCAGTAAGACTTAACATCTCCAAAACAGCCTCTCTTAAATTGACATGCGGAGTCCTATGTGGCTTAACTATAAAGCCATCATTGAAAAGCATTAATAAGAAATGTATCTTATGGCTTTAGATGTGCCGCAGTATTTCCTGGTTCTTTTTCCAGGTTTGAAAGGACAGAGCATAAGACCTACGACTGCAGCTAATGCCTCCAGGCAGCAGAAAATCTCTTATTTATATTCCTGTTCACTTTTTGTCACAAAACAGTTTTGATTTGTTTAGCCTCAGAGCTAATTTCAAATCTCGCAGTGGCACTTTACAGATTTACTGTGTGCGCCATTGTATCTTGCCTTTCTGAGTCCTTGCAATATTACAGCACCACACTTATCCTTGACCAGAATATCTTAGAAATTTCATTTAAGTACAATAAATTACTTAATGTACTTATTACTGATTTTAGCTTGTTTTCTCAGCATAGTTTATCAGAATCTATGCACGTAAATATCTTTGTTAATTTCTCCTCCTTGTTGAGTTATTCATTTTCTGTGTATTATTTTGCAGACTGCCCACTCTGGATGCAGAAGGAAATGAAAGGTTGGTTATTTTTGTCTTACAAAGCTGCAGAACAGACATAAACATTTAGCGCGTCCTGCAGAGAGTCTGTTAATTATTGTGTACTCGCTGAGGGTGTGTGGTGGACGTGTCCTGTCATGCTGTGCAGTGCTGATGCTTTGCTCTGTGTTTGTCGGCATTAATCCCTCAGCTTTGGTCTTCTGGGCTCTGTATTTCCTCTCAGCCACTCTATGAGGTCTTTATAATGGCAACAACACATACAAATAGATTTTACAATTCACTATAACCTTTTTAATATATCCGCCATTATTGTAGCTTTACATGTTTTGCTGGAGTTTTTGACAATTATTTTTATTTTTTTTTTGCTTAGGCTGCTCACCTAGACAACATTTTAAGTCATAGTTGCACAAACTTGTTCAGACGGTAGGCAGCAAATTATTCAACCATCTAAGATACCTCATTATGGCCCAAATCGTAAGCAGCATTTCATGTATTCTTCATGGAAGTACCAGAATGCATTGCGTTGAACAGATATTGATTATGGATATATTTTATTCAGTATTGATAAGCATCGAAAGGCTTTTTGTATTCCTTTTAAATGTATTGAGCCCCTAAAGGAACATGGGGATGGGAAAAAAAATAAATAAATTTCAGTGCATTTTATGAGCAAACGCAATGTTTCTCTGTGGAACGCAGCACTTTTAGAAGATAACGTTTTGTGAGCGAACAAAGTCTATCAGGAAACACAAAACCTTTATGAGAGAATGCAAATTTTTGTGAGCGATTTCAAAGGTCTTTGGGGAATGCAAAACATTTGCATACAAATAAATTTCAGTGCATTTTATGAGCAAATGCAATGTTTCTCGCACTTTTAGAAGATAACGTTTTGTGAGCGAACAAAGTCTATCAGGTGCTTTGCTCTGTGTTTGTCGGCATTAATCCCTCAGCTTTGGTCTTCTGGGCTCTGTATTTCCTCTCAGCCACTCTATGAGGTCTTTATAATGGCAACAACACATACAAATAGATTTTACAATTCACTATAACCTTTTTAATATATCCGCCATTATTGTAGCTTTACATGTTTTGCTGGAGTTTTTGACAATTATTATTATTATTATTTTTTTGCTTAGGCTGCTCACCTAGACAACATTTTAAGTCATAGTTGCACAAACTTGTTCAGACGGTAGGCAGCAAATTATTCAACCATCTAAGATACCTCATTATGGCCCAAATCGTAAGCAGCATTTCATGTATTCTTCATGGAAGTACCAGAATGCATTGCGTTGAACAGATATTGATTATGGATATATTTTATTCATGTACTCGCTGAGGGTGTGTGGACGTGTCCTGTCATGCTGTGCAGTGCTGATGCTTTGCTCTGTGTTTGTCGGCATTAATCCCTCAGCTTTGGTCTTCTGGGCTCTGTATTTCCTCTCAGCCACTATGAGGTCTTTATAATGACAACAACACATACAAATAGATTTTACAATTCACTATAACCTTTTTAATATATCCGCCATTATTGTAGCTTTACATGTTTTGCTGGAGTTTTTGACAATTATTATTATTATTATTTTTTTGCTTAGGCTGCTCACCTAGACAACATTTTAAGTCATAGTTGCACAAACTTGTTCAGACGGTAGGCAGCAAATTATTCAACCATCTAAGATACCTCATTATGGCCCAAATCGTAAGCAGCATTTCATGTATTCTTCATGGAAGTACCAGAATGCATTGCGTTGAACAGATATTGATTATGGATATATTTTATTCAGTATTGATAAGCATCGAAAGGCTCTCAGCCACTGGTCTTTATAATGACAACAACACATACAAATAGATTTTACAATTCACTATAACCTTTTTAATATATCCGCCATTATTGTAGCTTTACATGTTTTGCTGGAGTTTTTGACAATTATTTTTATTTTTTTTTTGCTTAGGCTGCTCACCTAGACAACATTTTAAGTCATAGTTGCACAAACTTGTTCAGACGGTAGGCAGCAAATTATTCAACCATCTAAGATACCTCATTATGGCCCAAATCGTAAGCAGCATTTCATGTATTCTTCATGGAAGTACCAGAATGCATTGCGTTGAACAGATATTGATTATGGATATATTTTATTCAGTATTGATAAGCATCGAAAGGCTTTTTGTATTCCTTTTAAATGTATTGAGCCCCTAAAGGAACATGGGGATGGGAAAAAATACAAATAAATTTCAGTGCATTTTATGAGCAAATGCAATGTTTCTCGCACTTTTAGAAGATAACGTTTTGTGAGCGAACAAAGTCTATCAGGAAACACAAAACCTTTATGAGAGAATGCAAATTTTTGTGAGCGATTTCAAAGGTCTTTGGGGAATGCAAAACATTTGCATGAGAACACATTTTTGTGGGTGAATGCAACGTTTTTTTGCCAGTGAGTTTCTGAGTTTCTTAAGGGAACAAAACCTATGCAAGAGACAGGCCCGGTTCTACGGGGGTGCTAGAGGGTGCTAAGCACCTTCAAACTAAATCAGTAGCACCCTCACTTAAAGCTGTATTAATGGCACTTCATTGCAGATTTGGCGTTTGCCAGTGCGCTATGGTTTGCGCTCTGGAGATCGGTTTCTATTTCAACGTGTTTTTGCAGCGTTGAGCAATGTAGCCAATCACGGGCATATCTGTTGATTTCTTGAATCAGAGGCATTTATGTTTGAATCCACTCGCTGAAATCGCTGGAGATTTTTGTTCAGGTATTGTGTTCAGCACGAATCATCTCATTATAACAAAGTGTAGACGCAATGTAAATAAGAGATTCATTTTGCAGCGTAGAGAACTTCATTGATTATAACGTATCTTTGTGGGATCGCGATGAACTAAGATGAGTGACCGCTTTTAGTGATTATACGGAGCACTCTTTGCGCCATAGCAACGGACGGACGCTACTAATATATATATATA